GTCCATAGAGAAATTTTAGGGGTGAATGATTTAAGTACAAATTATCTGGTTGTAGTCAGCGGTTGTAAAGTTGTATAGTTATAAAGGGTATAAAATGCAACATTTCCCTTTTCATTAGCATCTTTCCCTTTTCGTTGCCGTTAACACATATTTCGGAACACTGGATTTTTAGCTAAGTACCACTGATGGTTCATAAACGGACCAAAAAGTCACACGGTACAGTAAAAAACCAAATTAATTAGTTAGGGACTTCGTTTCTTTCATTTCACACTCAATTTGAGCAAATTCACAAGTGAACAAACAGAAACAGGAGATGGAAACAGGCTTACAGCTTATATTAATTCACTTTCTTCAAATGGAAATCACCATTTTGAAATGGACAGCATGGCAGCATTACGTTGTCAAAAGATCAATCAGGTTTTAGTACTAATTTTATAAGATTACACCCATGCTTAATCGTTGTAAGACTACTATACATAATTGTGCATGCGTCTGCTTGACGATCAGTCCCCAGATTAGCTGTAACCATGTACTATATTCCGTAACGGTTTTTGACATAAAATAGAAGTTTAGAAATAGATTTTCTGTTCTAACCTTCTTTCTGCATCGACTTACTAAATGTTTAACATACTTTACCTTACGTCATATTTCTAGCGATTATTTTGGTTATGTTAGCATGTAACAACTACTGTCACGTGTAGTGTGTGTTACCAAATTTAGACATATAACATAACAGTTCACACGAGGTTAGACTGTGTAATGATGACAGGTAAGGTAGTTATATGACCATGGTGCTTTTTGGCGTTAAAGGTAAACGAAAGGCTGGTTTGTTTTTGTGTATTTCCACAATTATAATGTTCCCTGGTTATACAATTTAATGTTTTTACAACTTACAAACGTCACAGGTGTGTAGATTATTTTAAAATGGTGAAATAATATAAGGTTCTACCGAAATCGCAAGTGGAAGTCAAGCATGAGTTATCGCTCTTGAATTCGAAAATGCTGTGACGTCATACATGACAATCGCCGATCCATCATAAACTTCGCCAGCTTCGAGGACGGACTAATGACCAGCCCCGGGTCCTAAAGGGACGTTCCAGCTCTCGTAACGTAGTTTAATTTGATAATTGATAGATTGATTGAAGTATAGCCGGGCCATAGGAGATGTAAAGGCAGTGACCTGTCATTGGCCTAGCAAGGAATATCTAGGAGAATTACTGGAGTTAATAAGTCAGCACTTCATTGAGAATTAAATATTAGTAAAAGGTTGAGATGGGAATCATTAGCATAAGTTTCCAGGGATTGTGAAACAGTTAACGAGAGTCTTTTAACTGTATTTGAGAACTATTGTAACATGTACCGGTATGTGATCGAAGATTGTAATTATAACTACAGATGCTAAAAATGTATCCAGTTTTCAAAACAGGTAACCACACAATGGAAGCATATCTTATATCGAGTAGACTAGTTTAGGGGTGGGGGTCGTGTTAGGCTTTAGAATTGTGAAATTTGCTCTGTCCTCTTTTGTGTTAGGGACGCCGAATAGACCATTTGATCTGCTGCACCATTTAACAATCCAGCGTTGTCTTCTCAAAGACGTCTCTGGTGTAATAACCCGGTGTCAGACTAATGTAATAAAGTGAGCGAATGCTGAGAGGACGTACGGACTCCAAACAATCTCGCTATTTATAATTGTTTTAATAATCTTTTGCATAAAATGTAACGAAAGTGTACCTATGTTTCAAACAAAACCGATACACCTAGCTTGATAAAGTTCAACTGCGCAAAATGTTACGGCTGTTGAAAGCAGCAGTAACCGATACAAGGGTGCTCTACAGTCAACTGGCGACATGCTGAAAATTCTCAATTTTGCAACAGCGTTCACCGGTTACGTTACCATAACAGCTTCGTTTCTTTGATGCAACTGTGTGTGATATATTTTCCCCATAATTTTGACGTTTTACCGTCGCCATCATGGTGTCATTGGGGAATTTGTTATTTCTTTGTGTGACATGAAGTGCGATATTTTTTATAATGCTCATAGTGTGCCTTGTTGTTTAGTTTCCATTACCCCGGTTCTCAGTATGAGGACATGACATTATGTGGATTAGACCTAGATTTACATGGTGGGTGTCATCGATGGAGGAAAAGATGTTTGCTCCTACGGAACCCTTGGTCTTATTCTCCCCGTACAGTTTCAATGGCATCAACGTAAATCGGGTAAGTAATGCCTTTGTTGATAGTTTGCCCTAGTGTATGGATTGGGAGTTCCAATTACAATATTGTTGACATTTGTGTATCCTCTTGGGTTTTTACCAAACCCAGATTAGTCTGCAGTCGTGAAAATATAACGACATCACTATTGCAGGAAGCTAGATTCAACACCAGACGAACTTGCAATACAAAAAGAGAAAAGAAGAGTGTTTCATGTTTGTTAATTTTTATTTCTCTCCTCTGTATGCCTTTCAAACACTTATCCACACACATCAATCATTTGTGTCACAATATTTTACAAAATAATCTTCAAAATTAAATTATTCCAATGATCATACAAAATTTAAATATTTTAATTTATTGCACAGGTTATTACATAACTGGTTGAACATAAGTATATTCAGGAAATTGTATTGCTGTTCTTAATAACATGGCTGGTCTAATTTAGATCATTTTGTCTTGAATTACATAATAAAGTGGCGGGATAATTGATTCACTTATTATTATTTCAAACATTTTACGAGATGCAGGTCACATTACATACCAAATAGCATAACAAAATCATCACACCTGTTCACAATGGTAGTAAGAGATATTAGAATAAGCCCCTTTATTGACAATAGATTTTAATTGATTTTTTTTTTAACCTTAAGGCCTATGCAAATCCACAAAGAGGGCCTTAACCCTTAACCCTTTCACCCCTATGTAACATTAGTAAACTCTACCATGCATTGATCTGGATGATTCCATTATGGTCCATAGTGGTGAAAGGGTTAAGACCAGGATATCTCAAATGGTGCAGAATATTTTCCTGTAAATCAATGCTATTCATGGTCTCTATGAACAATGATCCTTTGTTACATACCTGCATTTCATTTTGAGGATTTTTTATTGATATTGCATGAATACACAAATTACCTGCTGTCTTGTTCACACATGATCGCACAGTTATCACAGACACACTTCATTGATTTACAGACACACCCAACTTGTTCAGCTTTGACACACACATGGTACTCTTGTTCACACACTTTTAAAAATCTGCTAGCATCACACCTCACAAGGCAAGCACAAAGATAGACAACCACTGCATCTATGAAACACATGCAGGATCGCCCTGCATGATAATCGAAAACACATTTCCGCATAAATATGTAACATTTTGAATCACTTCATTAGAGTTGTCTACCCTTCAAGAGCAGAGAACTATGGATTTTTCTTTCATTTTCAAAAATCGTGCTCTACACATACAAAGTGAATGCTGTGCATGAAATATCAAAGCAACAAACTCCTCGCAAAAAAATAGTTGTACATAGTTCACGGTGATGAACATACATCAGACATTCACCCTGCTCATGGTCGACAGTATTTCTCCATAGTTTTTATATTACAAGTCAACTTACATAATAATTACAACTGTACAGAGATATTTACAGCATCTTCAAAAAACTTTTGTACAATTTGTTCAGGTTAGCAGACAAAACACCACACTTTCATAAATAATCAATTTACACATTCCTCTATCACATGGAACGATACAAAACTAAACACACACACACCCAGTGTCTAACTTGGCATGCCAGTATATATTGCTAGTCATCGTTACATATCAAAATTACATTTCTCAATATATTTGACGTAAACAATAACTCAAAACATTCACTTTCTATAAAAATTGAAGTCCTTAAGACTATGACCATACCAGAAAATATTTAATCTTAAACATTAAGGAAGGACACTGAAATATCTAAATGATGTAAAGAAATAGTCACTTTAATATCTTAGATATACTGATTGAGGAAAATAAACTATAGAATTTAGCGAATAAATATTTCACAATGATAGGATATTTAAAAAAAATCTTAATCCTTCAAATTCCTTTAATATTTTATAAAATGACCGAGATTATCGTGGATAAGAATGTTGCCTATTTAAGTATATTTTGTTTCTGAATTGGAATCTGAAGCTCAACGAGTATGTCAGAATATGACACGAGTCTTTTCTGGCGCTTTAAATACAGGGCATGCCTTTCCAATTTTCTTCAATTGTGAATATTTCACATATTTGTATGCATAATGACAAATATGCATATATAAGATCATATGACAATATGGAACAGCAGAATATTTTCAGTTATTGTCTACATTGAATATAATTATGCATATTCATTTATCCATAACATTAAATTTTAGAGTGAAAATTGCCTTCACTTAACATAAACAATAACATAACATACGTACATAACAGAGAGCAGAACAGTCTGTACAAAATTTAAACTCAAAATGGTTCTGTGAGCAATTTGAGATTTTTTTCTAGAATGATCAATGATTCAGTAACATTTGGGAAGATTAATATAAATAAACACATGATAATTAAATGGTTGAATATTCATTACATGAATACTAGTATATGAATATTCATGTATGAAATTGATCTGAATATTCATAACATTCAAATTAATGTGTTGACCATTCATCAGCATCCGACACAGCACCTAAGCATTCTTCAGTCAAAAACATAATTTCCAGCACATTGATGATCAGCTAGGTTAAATAGGCTTGGCTGTCATAAGTAGGTCATTTGTCAAGCTTATCAGTTTTTCAGTAAAATGATTTAGATTCTTACTAGAATCTACTACGTAATTAGCATTAATATATATATCTTACCATCAAATGTATACAATATTTACCTGGAAAAATCATAATTCCAAACCAATATGAAAATGAATGTACTGATGCCTAACATTTTTAATATCAACCTTGACTTTTCTTTCTTTAAAAGTTTCCTGCAATTTAACTTAATAAAAATCAAATTAACACATTTTCAAAAAATTTCCGAAAATATTTATGATTATTTATATGACAAAGGGCAAATTTGTAATAAGAAAACTATTGGAAAAATAGTCAGATCTCATTGTTTCGAAAATTTAATATCAATAGTAAAAGATAGGCTACCATGACTTGTGTGATTTGTTCAATGTTTTACTCCTTTTCCACTCTTATTCATCAGATCATTGATATCAAAAGTGCATACTAATTCAAAACTCTTATTTTTTCCAAGTCACAGCATTTCATATGAATATTTTTAAATCTGGTCCATCAAAATAGTGAAACAACCAACATTTGACAACATACAATATATGATATGTTTTGCTGAACCTGTAAAAAGGAATATATACATATATATGTAATATATACATAAATATTCACAAGTTGACATTTGATGATCATTACGAATAATTATTGTTACGAATATTCATTAGTTGACACTAAATCATAATGTAAAATCTACATTTTATGAAATTGACGAGGTAATCTTTAAATGATTTTGAAAAGGCAATGTGTGTTGAGTACCAGCTTTGATTTACCTGTACAGGTGTTAGTTGTATACATGGTATATGGCTAACACCTTACAATTGTAAGCCTTTCCGGTTATTTGATGTGAGGAACGTGGAATGCATGGTCAAACTTTTAAAACAACAGATCAAATTCAATACACATATATATCAGATCATTAAATAAATAAAATATGTTTTTACATCTCCAGTTGTTTACACAGACTTATGAACAAGATCATTTTTCAATGTATCAATATCAAATAGTAGACAAGTTTAGTTCGTAGTGAAGTATTTGGGCTTGTCTCCCCTGCTCCTTCTTAATACCAGGGGATGTTCTTGTGATAAATGAATCCTTTTAAAATGTCTGTTTTTTTAATTTTACATGTACAGTTTAGAACTTTTCTAAAGCTTAAACATATAACTCATATATATAAAATGTAGCGCAACAGCTATTAATTAACAGGTTATCTGATTTAAATTCATTTATGAAATTAAGCCAAGGGTAGATAATTACCCTTCATGCTCAGAAAACACAAAAAAAGTTTTGGGACTAACATCTTTCTTCGGCTGCTACAGTCTGAAGACAAACTTATTCTGCTGTTTAAAACAAACTTCTCAGATCATCACAACAAAAAATCACAGCAGAATATGAACAAAACTAAAATAAAGAGAGTTCTTTCGTAATCAATGTATATGAGATGACTGTGCTTATCATGCACATGTATAAAGTTTACTCCACAGGTGGTATACGAGGGAACATATGTCCTACGATTCTATTTTATCATACTCTCATAATCCAGTTGTGAATTTATGAATTCAGTTCAATGATGACTTTGTGAAGCTAATTCCATGATGAATTCATGATTTCAATGATGATTTCATGAAGCTAATTTCATGATGAATTCAATGAAAATAATCTGGTGTCTGAAGGCTTGATGAAATGAAGATCACAACAGTCGTCAACTTTACAATGTTACAATGATATTGGGAATTGATTGCATTTTAAACTGCAATTGCTTCAGTCTTATAAAAATGGTGACATTTGATTGGCTAGTCCTGATGATGCTCACATTTATGTGCCATGGCAACCATGGTGATATGTACACAGATGGCAGCCATGCGTGACTGCACAACAAAATCCTTCAGCGATGAGAGAACGGCTGCTCAATGAAATCCCCAGGTGTTGGAAACCGACCCCACTAGGCGACGAAAACAGCTTGGTATTCCAAGCAGGAATCTTTTCTTCCAGGATGTGGAATGGATAGCAATGGTGACATCATAGTTTTTGTTTCCACTACTATTCTAATCTGTCATCGCCGACAAAGAACATGATTTTCGCTCCACCATGCATTATCTTAATGACCTTTTGACACTGAAGCAATGGTGATAACGAAGGTTGTGACATTTACCTGGAAGGTAGAGCCCTTCGTTGTGAGGGTTGTGACTTCAGTCACAAGATGAGGACATGACACTATGAAATCCAGGGGACAGCCAAGCATACCATGTATATTTATTGACTTTGTGACATCACTATAAATGTTCAGTCAAAGTTTTGTTTTTTTGGGCTTAGCCTAATACTATCGTATTAGTAGTACAAACGTCACAAGCGCTAATACCAAAGTCACGGTAACACTGGCTCTCACCGCCCCTACACCTGCATTTATGATACCAGAGTTCTTATCCCCACCAGGAGCGTCTATCACTATATTGGGATCCACTGGAGTCCCGTCAGGAAATTTGCTTGCTGTAAAATAAAAATAAGAACACTCATGTAGTCCTTTGCGTAAATGTCACAAAAAAAGCCATGCTAGCTAATCCATATATTCACATACTAGTTTTTTTCCACATATAAGGAGAAACAATCCAGAATTCATTGAGAAAATCATATTGATTCATCAATTTAACTTACTACTTTACTTATCATTCTTTGGATATCCTCTATATAGATATATATCCTAGTGATCACTGATTGGATACCCTATATATGTAAGTTTTGGTTGGCGGTTGCCCATGGTAACCAGTACTTACTTGGTTTTTTGGTGGTGGTTGTTGGTGGTCTTGTGGTTGTAGTTGAAGTTGTAGTCTTCGTGGTGGTGGTTGGTCGCGGCGTGGACGAATGAAATGGTGACGTTCGATTGGTTGGTGATGTATGTGACGTATGTGGCATTGGTGACGCTACAAATAAAGAAGGCATAAGTATTTTTATATACAACTATGATTTGGAAAATAAACTGCAGAAGGGCACCAAATTATTAAAAAAAACAAAAGATCAGATTTCAATTTGCTTCTTTTAATAATACTGATAGTATAAAAAAGTTGAAAAGTTAAAAGCAAGATTCTGTTGCTTAATTACCACAGAATTACTGTAATGCTAAATTTCTTTTTAATCCTTGTGTCAAAATGTTGTCCCAAATCCTAATATTAAAATATTTATCAGGTATGTTAACATTAGTTTTTTCTATCAACAAATCCATAGCAAACAGTTTTTTAACTTACAGATAAATGTACTGAAGCTTTGAGCAGAAACAGAGATAAAAGTGTTGATAGCAGAGTTCTAGGAAGCATACCTGTGGTAGGTTTCTTGGTGAGGTCTAAAATGAGACGCATATTTCTTGTCTTACAGGAGCCGTTAACCTGATTATTTATGCCAGATGGTGTTCCTGTCGATGTGGCTGGAATAAAGTATGATAAAATATATATGTAGATATAACTGTGTAACACATGCGTCCTTTACCTATGTTGCATGTCGATGTACGTCACAAGAGACAAGCCTAGATCTGTATAGGGTGTACAATTCCATTAACACATAGTCTGTGTCATCGTAAAATCTAACCATCTTAGCATTAATAGAATCAAACTCTTTCCAATGACATATATTCTCCGAACGAACATAAGCTCCTTAATGTAAAATTTCTCTCTTAAAATCACTGGATTTATTTCTGCAGAACCATAAAGACTTAAAAGCTGACCTGAATAAGACAAAACAACTTTGAAACACGAGAATGTTGACCCATATTCAAGGTCATCTACCAGTTTTTGAGTTTACTAAATCTTTGTTCGGAATTGGTATGTAGTAGAGTAAAGCTATGCCTCGTGAGAGATGTCTGACTGTATTGCTACAGATCTAAAGACACTGACACTGTTTACATCATTTTGTATGGTATTACTGTTGTATGTAAAATGAGGCATTCAATGTGTAATTTTTGCTTAATACGTTGATGTCCAATCAAACAAGACAAATATAATGTCAGAAAAGATTATTTAATGACTGTTTTAATGTCAGTTAAGATTATTTTAATGTCAGATAAGATTATTTCAATGTAAGATAAGATTATTTTAATGTCAGATCAGACTGTTTTAATGTCAGATAAGATTGTTTCAATGTCAGATAAGATTGTGTTAATGTCAGATAAGATTATTTCAATGTCAGATAAGATTATTTTAATGTCAGATAAGACTGTTTGAATGTCAGATAAGATTATTTCAATGTCAGATAAGATTGTTTTAATGTCAGATAAGACTATTTTAATGTCAGATAAGATTATTTTAATGTCAGATAAGACTGTTTTATTGTCAGATTAGACTGCTTTGAAGTCATGTAAAACTATTTTAGTATCATCATGGCTGTTCAGATAGATAAGATACTTACAAATCATGTAGTATTTATGTCCCTCTGTGAAGTCGGGCATAAATGGGATTGGCTGAAAGGGTAAAACCAGCAACGTGAAGGGTTGACTTATCTCCCCTGGTGTAGAGCAGTTCCTAATTTTCGTAACATTCGGCGACTCGGGATTGAATATTGAACACAATTCATATTCCCTTTTTGTTACCTGAAAAATCAACAACATTTTCGTAAATAAGGAGTCACCTATCTGTTGAGATGTGATCAGTGATAATAAAGGATGCACATACACCAAACATGGTCTATAATGTCATGTTTTGTTTCAATTCAGTATCCCTGTCCCACTGCACTAACTGTTTATCCTATATACTTTAACCTCCCATTAACTTCCTTAAGGATCCCTGTCCCACTGCACTACGGTTTTCCCTATATACAGTAACCTCCCCTTAACTTCCGTTCTGGAAATAACAGTAGCACAGTTAGGCCAGGGCACTTCAATGGATCAGGTAGCTCAAATGGTTACAGTGATAGTATAACAATCTGAGGTCCAGTGACTGGTAAGAGTCATTCCGTCAATCTGTATTTTGTGTATATACCATATCCAACTGTGAACCTCACTGTTTTGTTACAGCCCTCACTGTTTTGTTACAGTACTGTGAACCTCACTGTTTTGTTACAGTACTGTGAACCTCACTGTTTTGATACAGTACTGTGAAACTCATCTGAGGTTCGTAGTGTTGAGTCTGCAGCACTTTATATACCCCTAAACCAAATAATAACTTTCATTGCATTTTTTACTCCAATTAATTTTAATTGATTGGTTAAGACTTTTTACTCCTTCATGACCAAATAAACTTTGAATATCATCAGATGTGGTATTGTTCTCCATCCTAGACACCACCAAATTAAATGCCAGCAACAAACATTGTATGAGGAAACACAACTCCACGTGTCGGAGTCATTGATGTTGTTTAGTAATTGGTGTCGAGGATTTGTGTCAGCAGTGACATGTACGTTGGGCTAACATGGACTGGATAGGGGACCATAAGGATCATACCATCTTTTCCTGTGGACCCAGGGCAAGCAAATCATCTATATGGAAGGTTATTTTTCCTTGAAACTAATTCCAAATTTTTGATATATTTTGTTTGGAAATAAGAGGGAGATTGAAATGATACTTACAAGGTATATGGAGTAGTATTCCCATTTATCAGGGCTTTGTTTCCTGTCACTGTAATCCGGACATATAAGGTCAATGTTATCGAAGAGCTGGATATTTATAAAGCTATCATTTCTGTGAAATCTGAAAAATACAACAAGAATAAAGATATTAGTGACATGGAATGAAACAGTATATCAATTTACCATTATGCATCCGATAGAAAAGTTAGTTTTCATTTCACATTTCTGTGAGAGGAGATGTTTGTCCCCATGTACCTGAAGCTATGTCACAGGACATACAGAATCAGCGTAACTTGTATACTTACCTTCCCTGGAGTCTAGATTCATTCCCAGATGTTGATGTTTCAAAATAACCTGAAAAGCTACAGTGTGCCAACACTTGTGGTTTTGTCCATTTTTTCATATTTTGTTCCATTTCCAATCATAGGAAACATTTTTAACATTTTCCAAAATCCCATGTCACTGGGGTTAGAGGGATTGTTTGTGTTGGCACTGGATAAAGCTAGCCAGGTCTAGGACGGACTCACTTTGTACCTACCTTTATATACAAGACATCAAGGAAGCAGGCCTCATCGTTGTCACATGTTACTGAAGTGTCTACTTTTGTTTGATGTAAGTTACATATGTTGATGAAAGCATCCCTAAAGATGTCCATATGTCTGGAGTAGACATTTCCTCCGACCTTACCTTTAGATCTTACTTCAAGGTCATAGGAAGTCAAGGTAAAAAACAATTTGATCTCTTTGTGTAGATGTTATTTGTTTCTGTGTGTAAAAATGTGCAGATATATAACACTTTACCTATCGGCCCTGTCACATACAATTAATCTATCATTTGAAGGAGTGCTGCCCCCAATCGTTTTCCACTACTGACTATATTAACATGTTTGATATCTATGCATGACTTACTTTAACTTGTTTAATACTTGAATGTTATCCAAGCCATCAGAAAATGTGAAAGGTTGCAGCTAGATTACTAGATTACTGTTTTTTATTTTTTTATTTTTTTAAGTTGTGACAAACTTTTTTTTAGCATTTTACGATGTACCAAATGTTGTATTATCGTTCCAGTGTTGCCTTGAGTAATTCCTTGTATTTCTATCTGATACTGGTAATAAAAGGTATGTCACCTCCGAGTCACAGGCTGACCTTTACTTATGTGTAGATCAGTGGGTTATGTGCCCCTATATGTGGAGTGTATGTGATACATTTCTGACTTTTATGTCCACTGTACATGCATAGTTAATGTACTTATATATTGTCGGAGTGTCGTTGGAGCCTTATGTTTTCACACACATCAGTCTCCTAGGATTTTATCTAGAATATTTCTAATGCGACCAGCTATAGTGCACATATATGTTAGACATTTCTCATAAAAGTAGCCGTTTTTGTTCACCACAATATCAGTGTCTTCTCCATCATCAAAAGTCGACCATCTTTTGTACAGAATTGACAGCCAATGAAGACCAATATATTTTAGGTATAATTATGAGTATTACATCCTTAAGCCGTATGACCATTCAACTAGCCTCCTGCCCTCCAACCCCCCCAACCCCCAGCTTTATATGAGCTCAGTAACACAGAAATTAACACAATTATGTCTGTACTTTTATGACATGCATGTCCAAGCTCAATAAATATCATGTTCTCGTACAGAATCGATTCCTGTTCCTTGCATTTTCCGTCGTAATCACTTGAAGAAAGTCAAACCACATCCACTCCGATCAGATATTGATGTACGAATCATTCAATGCCTACTTGCCGTCACAAACTGGAGACACAAGCGAGCGATTAGTAATCAATAATATTTCATAAAGGCAAATAATTTTTTTATTGTTTCCTTCATCTACAAAATTGAGATATCAGCTCCTGAAGATATGCAAGAACATCAAGGAATTATAAGAACTCAGATATATATTTTCCTGTTTCAATAAATGGTTTCTTTGATGGAAATAGTGGGTTATTATCCCAATACACCTTTGCATATTTCATTCACACATATACAGACACATAGACTTTCATATATTTTTTCAATGGTAAACACATCTTTGAAAAAAATATTGCAATGATTTTTCAGATAAATCAAAAAGTAAAAAAAGACATCCTAATAGTTGGAGGAAAGCCATGCTGTTAATGATCAACTTCCGTGTGGGTTTTGTCATATTGCTTTCAGTTGAGGAAATGAAAGTTTAAATGATGTTCTAAAAACAAATCGAAGTGATGTGGAGATGAGAAATAGGGACGGGAAGACGAAAATTAGTCCACAACATGGTGAGAAAGAAACCGCACAGCAATTCTTTGATGAGCTGAATTCTCAGGAGAGTTTCTAGGAACGGAGAGATAATTATATGTTTGGACAATTTGAGCAATCTTACATGCTTCATTAGGCGTGCCTCGAAAATTCATCCATCAAAAACGAAAGTTATAGCACCTCATTGACCCAGAATTAAATCTGTGATAAGGCTCGAGGATTCACAAAGAATCTCGGATTAGCTGTCTTATCGTTGCAGAGTACAGAGATGAATGCATTTACAGGCATGTCTCAAAATTGGCCCTAGTCATCTTCACAATAACAGACAATTTTTTATATTTCATTAGAAACAGTTTTAATCAAGGAAGAAATAAACTACACAACCAATACTAAAGTATGGAATATTTTTGTGTGTGCATGAGTTATGTATTGTATATGGCCGATTTCCAAAAAGAAAATGACAATTTTAGGTATCAGGTAGTCATAATATCCACAATTAATCATACTTGGCTAGTTCAACACATACATTTCCTTTCTAACAAGTGAGTTACCGAGTTTGTTGAGAATGATTCCCAGACATGTTATTAGTAATATACACCCCACCCCATGTCACTGATTAACGTAACCCAATCCAAGTCTCCAATACACAGAACTGCACTTTTCATTTTGTTTGGACTTTTTAAAGGTGAATTTGACACACCTCGTTAATAACTGAACAGTCACATGTCATCAGGACTTGTCATAATTAACACCAAACTCACAAAACCGAACAAACCTGATATTTTTGCCTGTTGACCTACCCCATCCATTAGCACTAATGACTGTGAGAAATGGACATGTCTATAAAAGATGTTTACGTCAATATTACAGAGGCATGTTGACCTGAAAGTGTAAAATCAAATATCCCACGCTCGCTATCAAGTATTTAAGGATAACTACCAATTTTAATGTGTCTGTGAGCATTCAATGATAAAAAATTGTCAAAAATGTGAAAATTATCTGATGGATAGTGGACAACTCATTTCATAAATGTCTTGTATAAAAACCGGTGGCAGTCGTAAAGCATGACATAATGAGATCAATTTGGAGCAATGTTCAAATCATTTCTATTCAAAACTTTAAATACCTTCTGAACAAATTAAAATGAAAAAAAAAGACTTATTTATAAAAAATCCTTTTTTTTACTGTAATTATTGAAAATCTCTATTTCAACAGTAAATAAAAAAATAAAAAAATGAACTCTGCAAGTCATATCAAACAGTATTTAACAACCCAACAAACCATTTCCTTCTGCCTATGAAAGCCTTTCTGTAGCCCTGAACACACTGAATATATACATTTGATCCTGGGCCGATCCCTATTGATTTAAGACCCTGTTGAAGAGAATTTCCTTACACAACTCCTACTAACAGTTGGGTGTAATCCTTAAATGGGAGGCATAAACAACAGTTTTGCACAAGCTCCCATCACTGTACCTGCTAATGTTGATTCCTCTGGGGCAGTGTATGATATCCTGGAACTGTGCGACTATACAGATCTCACATGTCGAACAAAGACACCTTAAGCTACTTAAAACTACTTCAATATAAATATTTTAAATAAAATCCCTTTCATTCAATGCATAAAAAAACTCAAGTCTTTACACAATCAACTTTTTATAAATGAACGTGTATCGTTAAATGTTTGATACAGTATCAGCCAGTATCGTGGTTAAGAGCACACTACAAGTCAGAACTATTTCATTTTCTTCAAATATCTTGTTACTCTAGTAATACATCTGTTTACGTATACTGTTTATTTGAAGAGAATACTTGTACTTATAAAATATCCTTAAAAAGACAATAGTAGCATGACATCCATTCTCTGTCAAGTTGTACAATGGATAGCTGTCGTTTAGGAGACATCGGACCATGTCAAGTTATCGCCCTACTGTATACAGTGTAAGAGGATCAAGTGAGAGAGCTGGGTAGCTGTAATTATAGAGGCTGGTCAAGATGCTAGTTGGCTATCTGCCTGTGACAGATACAACACTTACAGGGAGATACAGGACTGTTTACACAGCCATCAGACACACTTGTTACCTACAATTTCTCATCAAATCCAGACACCATTCTCAGCTATCTTTAATACTAGGGTGTTACGGTAAGTATGATTGGTAAATATGATTGCAATGATCATGATCCAAACCATACATATCAAACGTCCAATGTGTCTTTGTAACCAGAGTCAAGTCTTCATCATAGATATCAGACCACCAATGTGTCTTTGTAACCGGAATGTCTACCACAGAAATCAGTCCACCAATGTGTCTTTATATCCTGAACGTCTATTACAGATATCAGACCACCAGTGTGTCTCTATATCCTGAACATCTATTACAGATATCAGACCACCAGTGTGTCTTTGTAACCGGAATGTCTACCACAGAAATCAGACCACCAATGTGTCTTTATATCCTGAACATCTATTACAGATATCAGACCACCAGTGTGTCCTTATAACCTGAACATCTATTACAGATATCAGAACACCAATGTGTCTTTATATCCTGAACATCTATTACAGACATCAGACCACCAATGTGTCTTTATATCCAGAACATCTATTACAGACATCAGACCACCAATGTGTCTTTATATCCTGAACATCTATTACAGATATCAGACCACCAATCCATGTTTCATTGGCACCGTGCTTGTGATGACCTAACTTATGTCCGCCCCTCGGTGGGATACCACAGAGAGAGAGCCTTACTTACAGACTTTACTGTGGGAGACAACTCCCTGCGGGATGATGAATTTGACAGAATAACCTCCTTACGACTTTTAGCCTACCGCTGTCAATTTCCACAGTGATTTGTTACTCAAAATTGATTCAACCCTCATATCAGTTGTCCCTGAAAATTGATTCCATGTTGTGTTTTGCAAACACCGGACTGACAGTTGTGACGGCAGAGCTCTAGTCGGACACTCGATGTGAACATGGCCCTGAAAGTATCGGTACAAATTACCATACCGTGTGAAAGCATAACTTTCTCATCAAAACAGAATAAAACTTATCTCTAGACAATAAATCACCTTTTAAATATTACATAAAACAGAGAGAGAAAAGTTGATACCAGGCTAATCCATCACAGTGTACAAAGTGTCAATAATGCTGTATATT